AATTTTTAAGAGAAAGGGATTATAAAGCTTGAAATTTGAACCCAAACCAATATATTAATTGCACTCTTTCAAAAGGGTGACCACTAGGCACCAAAGCACCAAGGATTGGACAAAAGCTCCTCTTCTTTGTTTTGTTTTATAAGAAAAACTCAGATTGAGCTCCTCTGACATGACTTTGGCCCGGTAATTCTTCGTTTACTGTTTCCATAAAAGGTATATTTTTCCGGAATTATCACGTGTTTGATTAGCTTCGGTAATATATATATATATGGTTGATGGCATGACATGTGATAATTTTTTAAAATTTTTTTTATTTTATTTATATGTCATATAATTTAAATTTAAAATTTTTTATTTTTAACAAAAAAAATATTAGTATTGAGTTATTTAAATAGTTAGTGATAATATTTTTATATTATTTAATCACTCATTTTGCATTAAATGTAATTAAATAATATAATTAATTAAATAATATAATTAATTAAATAATATTTTTATATTATTTAATCACACGATCAATGCTTGAAGCAAATAATTTTCTTCTGCCGTTCTGCGCATTAACTTCTTCCTTTTGTGTATTACTTGTACCAGTGGCGGACCCAGGGAGGTGTGAGGGAGGTGCGAGGGGGAAGCTTGCCTCTTGAAATTTGAAAATTTTGTAAATTAATATATAAAAAATTATCTAACTTCTTTTGAACTTTGAAAATTTTAATATTTTACCTCTCTAAAAAAATTTCTGCCTCTGCCCCTGACTTGCACCAACCTCTAGTTCTGCCACGTTGGTATCAACAATCGTCCAATATTCTTTAGAGACCTTAAAATGTTTTCCCATCAGCATACAATGATCATAATAACGACCATCAAAACGAGCAATTGTAGGTTGCACAAAATTTTCAGATGTCATGAGGATAAACAACCATAAATAAAAAGCTAATTTTTTCCTTTCTATCGCATACCACTTTGAATCAAGAGATTGCCTCAAGTCAGGAGACTTTGATATTAAATGTAAAGAAATATAGGATTCAAAAGAAGAAGATAAGGAGAATGGAAATCAAGTTCACATTAAATCAAAATAAATAGCTTTTTATTAGACTTTACAAAATAATCTCACTTAAACTAAAATTCCTAACAAATATAAATGATAATAATATAATCTAATCTTAACAAATATACTAACACAACAACTTAACAAATCACTAACAACTAAACCACTTCCTAATATTTAAGGATACGATTGTGATCTTCTCAACAGAGATTACAGCTTATAGCTTGATTTTAATGCTTAAATTGTTAAATATAAACATTAAATATTTTATTAAATGTCAACTATCATTATTAATTACTATTAATTTCAC